CACCGGAATCGCAGGGTCACAGGTTCGATTCCTGCCAGAGGACTTATATAGTTGCATTTTTAACAACTGCTACTGGTTATAGGGTCTAAAATGTATACATATACCCACCAATAAGATTAATTATCAGCTATTCAGCTGAGTGAGAAAATAATGTTAATTTTTTTGTTATATGTGGTAGTCAGGCACTTGAAGGCAAATAATAAGAACTAAGAGGTCATGTAGTCCAGTTTTCTTGACCCTATTTGAAAGTGTCAACTGGTTTCGCTAGTCTTCAGAAGTTGTCTAGCTACTATTTGCCGCTTTGTATCGCTCACTGACAGCACCGTTGACAATACTTTATAGACGCTTGAGTCGAGGTGATGATAACCACGAACGGCAACTATAATGAGTTCTTCAACTACGACTTCAAGTTTTCGACAGCTAACGTAGCTAATTTGTGCTTCAATTTTAATGCATAAATTGCTTAACTTTGAACAACCAACAGTTGACCTCAAAATACGATTTAGAAGTTTGCCATTTGCCGTAAAGTCACTCATCTTATTTAAAGGTCTCTATACTAGTACCTTGTTTTGATTCAAACTCGGCTACGAGCAGAGGTTTTTTGTCGCCTGCCCTTTTCTCATCCAATCTCTTTGGAGAATAACAAATTGCCTGAATGGAATTTTCTTGTTGATTTTTAATATAATTTCCGATATTGTTTGACTTTCTGCTTGAGGACGTCGCCATGTCAGTACGAATTCGAAGATTATTATCAGTGACACAAGTCTCGTATCACAAAACCCTTTAGATTATGCATCAAATTAACTATACAGGGTGTATCAAAGAAAAACGAGACCTTTAGATTTTATGCTCCTGGGAATTTAAAATAGCTTTCAATAATTTGACCGACTCTCTTTTATTATATTAGAAGTACCATTTAAATTCCCTGAGGCCTGTTTTATACGTCGAATTTTGGTCGCGTCGAATGCAATTGAGACAATAGATAATGAGATGGTAAATCTCATTGAAAGCCCGCCGCACACGAGAGCAACTTGCTGAGCTCAACGCCTCGCGGCTCAGCAAGTAGCTCTCGTGTGCGGATAGTTTTCGTGAGGATTTGACCTCTCGAGGCCTTGAGGAAAATATCTATCGACTCGTGTTTGATATTTTTCACCTCGCGAGGAAAAAATCTCAGCGTCTGCGGATATTGTGAGCTAAGTGCTGAGCTGTTTGAATCAATTATAGGCAATCAGAGGCGCCGGAATATCGATAATTGCGGGGGCAGATATTTATATATTCGTGTTCACAGACTGTAAAAACAATCGATTTCAAAAGAAATTAATTGGGCAGACCACGAATATATGAATATCTGCCCCCCCCA